GAATGCTTTATGGCAGATTTCCATGAAGCACTTGATCTATAATGTTTTAAGCTTATGGTTGAGAACAGTGATAAAATGTGAGCCTTTAGTCAGATTTTTAAATCCAGTTTGTTTTTACAAGTGACTAGCATAAGACCTTGAGAGAAGAAAACAAAGCGAAACATACAAATACAGTAGTTCTGGTTTATCCTGTTGTAAGAGGAGCTTATTTAAAGCAATAGCTTGTCTTTGGAGTTGATAGGTAATGTGAAAACCTGCCCTTACAGAGCAAGAGCAATAAACAGCTGCTGTTCCTTGAGCAGTAATTCAGCCAAACTAGGGTTTAGTGGGGAAAGTACACAATGCACAATGCTCAATGATCTGTGCCTTACAAGGTCAGCATTTTGTATTTTGGGTTGTCTGTGAGTAAACAGAGTAAAGTTGCACACATGCAAATACAGTTAATGAACAGCATGCTTCACTTGCTTTTACCTGCCTTATCCATGTTTGTAAAACAGCTGGAAATCCACTGTGAATAGCCATGCGTTTATAGTATAATAAAATATACTATATCAGGTGTAAAACACAGAAGCAGTCTTTTACATTTTGATGGCTTTGGAATCTTATCTGCACGTGTTGAAGATAGTCTGATTTGCTCGACCTTTCATGTTGAAAACAGCTTGAATGTCTTGAATGGTAATTAGTTGGGTTGTTTTTAGGTAGTTTGGCTTACCTTTTTTTAAGTGTTGTCATTAAATTGAATAGCATGTTATTCATTAAAATTAAACAGATCATGCGCCTGTCGCTTGCTGGGATGGGCTTGCCTGCAGCTCCCTGGCCACAGAATTGAATAAATCAATTAGAAAATGGATGGATGTTTATCTTATGTGATTCATTTATTGTAAAGTTATGCCTGTTTTTATCTTGTAAGCATATTGTATTAGAAAAAAGCATACTTGGCATCAACAGGAGCTATGAAGATGTTATGGTGAAAAACTGATATTAGACTGTTTACTGTTTTAACAAATTGAAGAGAGGGTCTCTGTCTTCTATTAATCTCAGGATAAAGACATTTTTTTAAACTACAGTACAGGCTCAGAATATTATTATATGGACTTAGCTAAGTATAATTCTTGTTTACACTAGCTGTCACCAAAAAGATTAATATATTTCAATTTTAAAAAACATTCCCAGGTTTAGTTATGTTTATACTGACAGACATGTGCATGACCAGAAAGGTGTTAAGCTCTTTTATTTCAATTCATTCCCCAGTGACAACCAAAAATAGGGATGTAAAACAGAACATGGTACTAACATCCTGAGACCATTTCTCTAGCAAGAAAAACTCTGAAGGGTAAAATTCAGGCATTAAACGAACAATTTCAAAAGCAGAGGTTATACAGTAAGTCTTATAAGCTATTAATGTCATCTGATATGTTTAGATTACTTAACATATCTATTTAGATTAGGCACTTAAGACGTATTTTGTTTTCCTCTTTGGATATAAGCTTTGAAAATATCACTCTCTGTGATCTGCAGAACAGAAAATGAGTGACAGAGGCATGACAACAGGCTTCAGTACTGTTGTTAATTATCCTCCTTCTGTTTTTAATCAAAGCCCACTTCTCACTGACATTTGTAAAATGTAATTATTTATTAAGTCAAACTTGCTAATGTTCCTAAACAATTTTCAGCCTGCCTTTTACCTGTCAGTTAGGACTTCTTGTTCTATGATAACCTGACATTTAATATGTGATGCGCTCTCTCTGGTGACAGCAGAATAGGTCATCACTCCCCCCAGTTGTGTCCTTTTAAGTAAGCAGTCTGTGCTCTCTGGGGAGATCTTTGAATGAAAGCTTAGCCAAGGACACCTAAGATAAAAATGATGTGCATTCATTTAAAATTTTTCGAATTTTCTTTTAACATGTTAATTTTTAATTTTATGAGCTGGAAATGACAGACCCAATTTATGTCTCGTATATCAGCTGTGTAAAAACTTCCTAAATTACAGACTATCCCTCCTGGAATACCTACAATTATCTTTAGTGCATTTTATCCACTCTTTAAAGTATAAAATATGTTGCAGCTTTTCATTTCTGCAAGATTTTAGTTTAATGTTACAGTAATTACTACATACAGTAGACAACATACAGTAATACAGTAAAGCCCCATCCACACAAGTGTTCCAAGTGTTTTAATTTCAAAGTCTTTGCTATTGTGCATGCATAGTTTTCTGCAATAAAAAATAATGAGATTGTTACGCTTTATAAAGGTCTGTACCTTCTAAAATTAATCATGCTTAGGGTACGTCTTCACCCCCACCTCACCCCAGCCAATCTGTAGTAATAAGTCTGAAGATGAAGTGACATGTCTAATAACAAATTATGTCATGCAGTTTGAAAGAAACATTGTTTTCAGCCCAGTCTGTAAAATTACCTCACAACTGTTAGAACGAACTGTGTGTGTGCTGATTATTGGATAACATTTGTTCCAAAATTAACATTTGCTCTTTAATGAGTCTTAAAATAAATGTTTATTCAACATTCTTTTAAATATCAAATATTCAGCATGTATTCCAACATTAATTTATAGCTTGTGATTATGATTCATTGTATAAATTTATATTGCTGCGGTTCTTTATTTTAGATAATGCATTCAATGTGTTAAAGAAAACAGGACCTTTAGTGGAGAATAGAGACTGAACTAGAATAATTTGGGAGCTTGTAGAATTGTTTTTTCCAGTGTGTATATTGCTTTTTTTTCTTCATTCATTTTGATTGCTAGAAGTGGATTATCTTTCACTTTTGATACAGAACAGAACTAATGTGTCAGTTTCAATTAGTATAATAGGATAGTGAGAGAGTTGGTTCAGTGAAAGAAATGAAGAATTCACAATACAAATGATTTGGAATGATTGTGAGTGGAACCTTATACTGAAATGAGGGGAAAAGATTCCAGAAATGTAATCTTTTAGCAAACATCCTCTTAAGAGCTCTTTACACACTATGGTATAAGCATATAGCCTTGAACTGTACCGTGCCAAAAACTTTTAAATTTAAGGAATGCAGCATTTTGAATTGAAAGGCAGTCTTTACCTTTATCTAATGTCATCATAATCCAATACATTATCTTTATCCAAAAGATGTATTCACCAGTTTCATTGCAGGGGCCTGTGTTCTGCAGCATTATGCTAATGTTTGTGCTCACACTGAAGTCCTAGCATATCAGCATAAGTGAACTCAAAAGATGTAGGAGAGAATGCAGCAATAATCTGTGCAAAAAGGAAATTGGTTTCCCTGCGTAAACATGCAGAGATAACTACAGGAATGGAAAACATACAGGCACTAAATCATTTAGTCACACTTGAAGTGCTACACCCTCTCTTTTTGGATGCTTCAGTGTGAAATTTTAATGAAAATGGAAGAAAAAGATAATTGCATTGTAACAGAAAGCTTGTGGTACCATAAAGCACAGGTAATAGTTCATTACTGAGTGACTTGTAGTAGGAAAATAGTAATGGAACTCGTTCCGCAGGGCAGTTCTGTTCATATGTTCACACGGTGTGAACTTTCTTTCTGTGGGTATTTTTTAGATTTAATTTTGAGAATGAATTGTTCCCAGTACGATTTTCAGTGAGAAATTACTGTTGCTTGCTTAGTTAAAATTAAGCCTCAGAGTGATCATGAGTTTTCATAACTAGGATGTTATGAAAGCTGCTGTTATAGGTTTATTCTCTGTTAGTCATGTACTTTGGCTTAGAATTTGTCCATCTACATGGGATAGAGATGGATTTGTGCCATACTGACAGCATAACTGCCCTATTCTACAGAGCTACTGTACATAGCTTAATTTCTGTTTATTTGGGGGAGAAATTAACTGTTTTCTATTACCATGGAATCATGTGTAACAGCAGGCAGTATCCCTTTGCTGTCTGTGTTATTATGGCAATAATGTAGCCTATGATAAACACACCCTTATGAATAAATAGAATAACCTATGAGATACAAACCCTTATGATAGCAATAGTGAAGGCTACTATACACAGAAGGTTCAGGAACCCTCCGGATGTTTAGTGATTTATAGGCCTACCTTTCTCTCACTTTTGACAAGAGGTTTCTGTCCTCTTGTGACTGAACAGTCCACGTTTTAATCCAGTTTCTCCCTTCATTTGAAGATAATGCTAGTAAAAGCTTCTAAGCAGATACTTACAGAAGGTTTTATTTGGTTTGGATCATTGTGCTGGAAATATTTAAGAGGGACTGTATGAAGACATCCTTATATGGATTTAACCTCCATCAGTTTCTGCCATTTTTCCAAGTTGTATTTTAGGCAGAGGCAGGAACATAACTAACACCAAGCTGCACAAGCAACAGGAAGTTCCAATTCCTCCCTAACAAACAATTCATTAATCTGTATGATCGTTTAATGATTGTTTCTAAATTTTAGCCGCATTTGACACATTTTACCGAAAGACATCTTGATTCAATCTCATTTTTTATGGGAGGTGCACAACGCAGGCTTTTTCTGCTCATTGCAATCTCTGTTGTTTTCTTTCATAATTCTGGTAATTGCATTTATGTTTTTAAACCCTCCCCCAGGCTTCAAATAATAAGATAATAAGGGTGCTTTAGTACTGTATGTCAGTGAATGTGTAATGGAGTGTGTGTGCTCTCTGTGCTACAGTCGGTCGAACTCCAGCTTAGAGTCCATACCACAGGCACCAGTGGTCTGCCGAAAGGCCAGGCTCAGGATTCTCTTTGTCCTCCGTGGTTCAGAAGTAGTTGGCAGTATTTGCTGGTTAGGCTTACCATTTTCCAGACCCAGAAAGGTGGTGAGACCGTAGGATTATCCTTATCTGGTGTCCTTCAGGGGAGAAGTGCCATTATGCCTATGGGCAAAAGAGATTGGAAATACCAAATGATCTTTTTTATTAAGAAAAGAGAAGAGAAACATATGCATGACCTGTTAATTCTTGTTTGAAAGACTGTGCACTGTAACTTAGACCATGCCCCCTTTTCTAGGCTTGTCACGCTAAGCCTTGGCTCTGAACGCATCTGAAAGCCTGCAAGCGGAGCTGAGCTCTGAGCCAAGCCTGGGCAGTGTTATAGAGTGGAATAACAGCCCTCTCCTGGACTCCACACACCAGGATGTTGAATACCATCCAGGTCCTGTGTTCCGACATCACAACGCTCTCTTTGGAAGCCAAGCAGTTTGCCAGTTACACTGAAGGTGATTTCATGTTAGACAATCATACACAATGGGTTAGTCCACTACTGGTCAGTTAATGGCCAGCTAATGGGCCTTGACCTTATTAACCAGCTTGCAACTCATTAGTACATAACCGACCAGTTACATTGCCATTATTAATCACTCATATAATAAAATTCACCCGCATCTTTCAGTAATAACAACAAAAAGCTCCACAGATCTAGGTTTGTAGCCTCTTTTTCATCGGCTGAGTTATAGATGAAAGGATACATGGCTGCACAGTAGTTATCCAAAATAATAATGATACTTCCAAAAAAATGCAGTTGACCATTAGATTAAATATGCAGCTGTGCAAATTAAAATTGCAAACAGTAAGGCAAGTCTCCAGCAATACAGTAGCTGCAATATATAGTGGTTACATTTCATTTTATAAGAGAATTTCTTATCCTTCTAAGAAGTCAGTTTGTGTTTGTCTTGTCTTTTTGTGTTACTATGCGTTTCTTGAACTGTGATATTCTACTTGTATGTCTTTTACATAGGTTTTTTTAGTTAATTTAATTGAAAAAATTCCACACTTGTGACAAGCAGAACTTGAGACAAACAACACTTATACTAATTTATACATATTAATTCCATAATTTAAATTGTTGATCAAGTGTGCTTTTTATTGTGTATAATCCCATTTTAATACCTATAGAAATGATACGTTAACGTGGTCAATTACTGTTTTCTGTTTGTACAGTATATCGCATGTGTTCTTGCTGACTTTGGAACTGTTTCTTAGTTTGTCATTCAAACTCTTACAACTCAAATGACTCTAAAGTCAGCCAGTGGAGCTGAACATGATATTGCATTGCACAGACCTCAAAGAAGAGAGCTTTATTAAGGGATATTTGAGGATGGTTCTCCTCAATTATTATTTTTATTATTATTACTTACTGAATGGTGGAAAAAGTAAAACATGCATAATTGAAATAAATATGCAAATTTGTCAGGAGACATTTCACTGAAGGAGAGAAAAAGAAGGAAGGAAGATAAATGACACTGCAGGTGAATTCCTTAGTTGTCATTTTTTTGGAGTTATGAATCAGTAATTTGGAGTTATACTGTAAATCAATAGATTGAGGTCTCTTCCTCTAATAAGTTCCTTAATGAGGACAACAGAGAAATTCTGGCAAGGGGTGAGAAATGCATCTAGTCAAACTGAGTTTAAGGAGAGTGTAAAGATTACGAATGAGAGGAGGTCTTTTGACCCATCTATCCTTAGTGGTTTGGAGAAGTTAAGTGATCTAAGGATCTCATCCTGCCATTATGTGAATGAAACCAGGATATTGGCCTCATGGGAAACATGACCAGGTTGCTTGTTCCGACTCCCACAATCCTATATATCAAAAACAGCTTCCAGTTCTCCGTTTTAAATGCACTTCCACATGATTTCCAGTTGTGTCCTCGGCATTGTGAGTGCTCTAGATTGACTTTGAGTATCTTTATCGAGATTTTAAATCTTGTATAGTTGTTGGCTTATCTGTTCAAGACTGAAAGTTATTTTTTTTCAGCTTGTCATTGTAATACCTTTTTGGATTTAAATGAATGACCCTCGTTGCTCCTTTCTAGTCTGAGCAGGTCATAGAGTTAATAAGAGTGTTGACAATTTTTTTGCAGTAGAGAGAGTAGGCACCTATATTGATTTTGCTACTTTTTTTCCTGATATCCATATAGGTGATCCTCTAATTGTTGTTCTCATTTGTGTCTAAAACCTTACTTGTAATAGATTTACTGGCCTGAATTTATTTTATTAAGTTTACTCCATTTATTATTTCCTTGGTATTAAGTTTCTACATGTATATATTACTTAGTTTGGTTTAGTATTACCCATTCAGAAAAAGGCCAACGTTATCAATTTTCCAGGTGAAGGTTGCTTTCAGTGACTGTTTTGTGAAGAGCTTTGTATGAGTAACATATTGATAACATGTCTTGTTTCTTTAATTACAATTGGTAGGATGCCATTACATCCTGGAGATTTTGCTGTCAAATTTTACTTCTCTCTCTTCTGTGCTGATACTGTTTCATATAGAACTTCATTTTCCCTGCACTGGAGTGAAAAGAGCATTAAGTACATTAACAATTTCTCTTTCGTCATCTGAACGTTTCCCATTATTAACTCGGAGACACCGTTTACTTTACAGTTGTAATACTGAAAATAGTTTTATGAATTTAATTTCAGCATAAAGTGAAATATTCTTTCCTGTTACATTTTCTAATATCCCTTTTTCACTCTTGCTTGCAATTCAGTGAAGTCTTTTCTTTAACAGGATTGAATTATTAACTCAAGAATAGCAATAATTTTTACGTGATTAATTACTGTACATATGAATAATTTCAACATAATTTTTGAATGCTTTAATTGTAAGCCCCAAGAGTTTCTTAACATTCTGTGAAGGTGAAGACTTGATAAGAATATTTCAACAGTACAGATTTAACTACACAGGGTGAATTCTAATACCACTGACCAAAGCATTATACTCTTGGTTTACAAAATGACTCTTATGTAACTCATGAGGTTCAACTCAGAGGTGATTTCTAGAGGCATCAAGGAGTTTTTATAAGGTTTTGGAAAAATAGTTTTTTTTTAAAGGGAATTAACTGAAAATACAAGGTAACACAGCTGTATACCATGCAGTCTTTCTGATGTAGGTCCTTCTCTGACTACAGCACCGTCTTGCCACAAGCAGTTGGTGTTGTCTAGAGGAGAGCCTCAGGATAGTCCAAGTATCTGATGAGCCATGTACTTTGAATGCCACAGTGTATCCACATTCTCATGCTGGTCGGTCAGCCAGCCTTCACTGGAGCAGCACACACCAGCCCATCTGCTCTTCATGTAGGGTATTGGCTGCCCCTAAATCTGCAACAGCAGAATAATATTTCATTGCTGGCAAAAGAGTGCTCCACCAGTGATGCCCAGTTATCTTTACATGCATCAATCCAGCTTCCAGCCACACTTCTCACTTAATATGTACATCGTCCCTGTTGATCCTCAAATATTTAAGTGACAGTCATAAGAAATGACAAATTACATTATCTTTCTCTTACAATCCTTTTTCCTTTGTACCACGTTAAAGCTATTTTCTGCTCAGAAGTCTTCCATATAGAGTGACACATGCAGTTTTCTGGTCCGCTTCATCCGCTGAACATACAGTATGTCCTATCCGTAGTCATCAAGGGTGTGATGCATTTCATATCGTCGTATGATGCGCTGCCTTTAAGAAAGTCCCATTCTGGGATATTTTAGCTCGGGCAGGAATGATTAATTATTCTGCCACTAAATGTCATTTTGCCATTTTTTGACTGGTTTGTTTTTCATTGAAAACAGACGAGAGTACATGGCAAAAGTGGGTATTACTGCTGTAGTGTCCATAACAAAGGAGAAGACCTGAAACAGTAAAGCATAAGAGAAGGACATTAAATTTATATGATATTAACTAATAGTAAATATTTAACCCACTATGCTTAGAGAGACATTTCTCATAGAAAATTAGTTTAATTTTAAATTAGATAAATGTGGCAGAGATGTCCATAATGAGCAGTTTGTTCAGTAGTGTTATTATGCCATGTTCCCATGGTGAAGCATTAGTGTATGAGCCTATGTACCCACATCAGCTTAATTGCTAGATCTTCATGCTTCAGCTCAAAAACTTCAATTTAAAAAAAACAACGATGAGTAGCTTTACCACCTCAAATGTGAATATTAATGAGGGGTCTTTTGTGTAATGTAGAAAACACTGTCATTGAACATTGTCTTTATTCTTTCAAATCGGTTTCATTATTCACATCTACATAAACAAGGTGAAATTGAGTTAATGTTACTGCCCATTGGGTTTTGATTCTTGTTTTAATGAATCCCTCAAGACATTTCACACTTATTTACCCTGGGTCTGCTCACATTTATATAAAAAAAACAAGAACAAATACATGACTCACTTAATTGTATGTATGTAATTGCTTGTTCATTAGGCAGCTTGATGAAGCGGAAGAATGACATTAACCCATCTCTGTCCTTACAAAAATCTGGCTCAGAGAGAAGATACCATTGCTTAATTTAGCGGGGTTTCTAGTTGCCCGATTTTAATACTGAAATTACAAATATTAAAGATAATTGTGGCAGGAATGAAACTGTTCTGGGGTCAGTTTGATCCTTTTCATTATTAACTAATGCATACGTTTTTGACTTGTCCAATATGATGTCGAATTTAAATATAATATTTACTTAATAATCTAATATACAGGATGAAAGTTCTAATGTTTAAACACCCATGCTTGGAAGAAATAATGTTTAATAATGTTTCTTTATTAGTTATGCTAGTACTGTATGTAGTCCTCTCTCAAATCTAGCAAAATAGTATCTATTCACTTTTGAAAATAATAGAGTAGTTTTAGAAGAATAATAGAAAGCAATAATAAGCTCAAGGCCTGTCAAGGGCAAGAGGTAAACAGGTGAGAGAACCAGTATGGATCTCTGATGATGACGTGATGTGCTTTGAAACTTTAAAGGTTAAGACTAAATCAAAAGATGTGGAAAGAATGAGTTCACTTAGGTAGCTGCGTCAGGATGCGTAGGCTGCAAAGGAACAGATAACTAATTTATTCCATGCTGAAAAGAAAAGAAAGGAAACAAAGGAAAGAATGAGACAGCTTAAACAAGTAAACTGGGGTAGGGTAGCTATGGAATCAGTGGAAACTGCATGACAAGTTTAAAAAGCTTTTCATTAAAGTACAGAATAGATTTATTCCAAGGGGGAATAAATCAAAAGCTTAAAAAGTACCAGCCAAATAGTTTAACACATCAATTCAGGCAAAATTAAAAGGAAAGTAAACACTTTATAAAAGGACTTTTCTTTAATTGTATCCCAGTAAAGGGGTACAATGAATTACATTGTAATTATATTGAAGTATATATTGACGTATAAACAGGACGAAAACGTGGCAGAATATATTTAATATAGATGAGTGCAAGGTGCTGCATT